GGGGGGCGCTGGCCACAGGGCGGCTCAGCTGCTGGAGCCAGGCAGGTAGGAATCAGTTAAATTAACCCCTCTCTTTCCTTCACACACAGGTCGCACTGCACAGGCGGTTGCGGTCCGAGCCAAGGCGTTCGGCTTCAACGTGATATTTTATGACCCATACCTGCAGGACGGGATAGAGAGGTCCCTGGGAGTCCAGCGGGTCTACACGCTCCAGGACCTGCTCTATCAGAGCGACTGTGTCTCGTTGCACTGTAACCTTAACGAACATAACCACCACCTTATCAACGACTTCACGATTAAGCAGGTAATTTGCCTCATGCACACGACCGAGGAGAGCGCTCTGCTCTTCAGTGGGCAAACCCCAAGCGTCGGTGCTGGCCGTGGGTCCCTCTGCAGTCATGGCCACAGCGAGCCAGTGCCTTAGTGCCTACGGGCTACCTCTGAAATAGCTGGTTGCACCCAACAGCCCATCTGTCTCCCCATAGTGTTTACCTGGGGGGGGAGTGTGCTACCAGGTAAGCAAGCCCTACGCCCGCGGTGTGGAGGTGACAGCGGGAGAGGGTTTTGTTCGCTGATACAAGCCAGAGCTGGGCTTTCCATAGAAAACCCACATGCACTGACTGAGATGGGGATTGCTCTGGGGCAGGAGCACACAGCTGCTCAGCATGAAAAGCGAGGTGCAGTCCCAGCCGGAGGAGGCACTCCGGGGCGCCTGCTGCTGTGTCAGGACAGGGTAGGACCGGGTCACTGCACCGAGCTCACTCTCATCTCTCTCTCCCCGGCCGCTGCCAGATGAGGCAAGGAGCGTTCCTGGTGAACACGGCGCGCGGGGGGCTGGTGGACGAGAAGGCCTTAACTCAAGCCCTGAAGGAGGGACGGATACGAGGGGCTGCGCTTGACGTGCATGAGTCTGAACCGTTTAGGTAAAGCTCTGGCTTTTTCTTGGGTTGCTGTTTGTAGTGGTGTGGCCAGGGGCTACACAACACCCACACGCCTTGTCATACAACGCCAGCACTAGGGACAGTCCTGCTGGTTTGAGAAAAGGCCCGGCACCTTGCAGCATCCATCGGGCATGGGGTGGCACCAGGGTTACAGGTGTTTGAAGGGACATTGGGAGCTTAGAACAAGCAATCAGCCTGTGTTCTTAAAAAAAAAAAAAAAAAGCGCTCGCTAGGCCATGAGAACAAATTTACTGTGTTGAGCGTTGGGCATTTTTGCCCACAGGCTGCTGCTGCTAGCTGGGAAGGGGTTGGTTATAAGTGGGAGTGCAGCTCCTCTCACCGCAGATTGGGGATGGGGGTAGTACTAGTAGGTTGCTGGTGCTTTCAGAAACAATTTTTAAAAAAAGAGTGTGCTCCTACAAGGAGGAACCCCCATATCCACCCCCTCCCATCTTGCGCTGGGTGACCCGCAGCCTGTCCCTGCAGCCCCACGCTGCTGCAGAGACACCCCCAGGCGTTTATTCCTGGGGGAACATTATGAACAACCACCCAGTAGATTGGTTTTTCAGCCCTGTTGGCTCTTTTTTTGGTGCATTTTCAGTTTGTGCCCTGCACTGGACCCGTGCTTCCTCCCCCATGTTTCCGTGGCCATTTCAGGCTGGCAGGACGCTGTTGGGCTCCTTCTAGCCCAGGGGCCACAGGCAAGGAAGGGGCTGGGGGCCGAGGCATGCATACGCAGAGGGCAGGCCACAAGCCTTTTGCCATTTGTAACACATTTTATTTGCTTTTTAAACATTGATTAATCTTTCTTTTTTTCCTCCTGGCTACCAGTTTTGCTCAAGGCCCATTGAAAGATGCTCCTAATTTAATCTGTACTCCGCACACCGCTTGGTACAGTGAGCAGGCGTCACTAGAGATGAGAGAAGCTGCTGCTACTGAAATACGGCGTGCGATCACAGGTACCCAGCCCCGGGGTAGCTCACGTGTGCACCTGGAATGTGAGCCAGGAGGGGTAGAGACAGAGCAGGAGACTGGGAAAGGGGTCTAACACCAATTTTCTTCCCAGCAAAAGAGCTGAGAAACCAAACTTTACTTTTCTGTCATGTGAGTGTGTTTGTGCTTGGGTGGGGGGTTTTTGTGGGTTTTGTTGTTTGTTGGTTGTTTTTTTTTTTTTTTAAATCAATGGGGCACTTGTGCAGCACAGCAAAGACTAGTGTCCATGACCGGGAAGAAGAGGACAGTGAAGCAATAATTCCTGCCCCTTTTAATGGTGCTAACCTAAAATATGGTGCAGACCATAGCCAACTGCATGCCAAAACCAAATCCCAAAGCAGTGAAGGCACCTGTGTCTAACTCTTGCGGTAACTGAGCTTGCTCCAAGATGATGGGCACGATACTCCAGCAAATGAGTGGTTCTCTTGTCCTAAAAATTGCCCCCCTTGTTAACCTGGATGGCATAGCTTCATGTCTGGCTAGCCCCTGCTTTGAAATCAGCAGGCTCAAGGCAACAGCTTTTCTAAAGCAGAGACGTGGGACTCAGGGTAGGAAACTGGTCTCCAACCCTGCACCTCAGGACAGCCAAAACGTCCTCCTGAAACAAGGGATACGGGATTTCTGTGCCTCCCCCTGCCACCTTTATACTAACAAATATAGTGAAATGGAAAAATTGTAGCTTATTATTAGAGGGTGATAAAGCTAAGACTCACCTGACACATACTTACCTTTATTACCAACTCCAGGGCGCATCCCAGAAAGCCTAAGAAACTGCGTGAATAAGGAATTCTTTGTCACAACAGCTCCGTGGTCAGTAATAGATCAGCAAGCAATTCATCCAGAGCTCAATGGTGCCACGTACAGGTAAGCCGGAGAAGAGGCCCATCGCAGCCCGCCGCGGCAGCCAGTTCCCCTGCAGAGGTAGGGTTTGGGGTTCCAGCTGCGAAGCGAGCATGAAAGCGCAAGCAACAACTTCTGCATTGGCTCAGCCGGTGACTGTGCAGTCCCCCTCCTTGGGGACTAGTACTTACATCACTGGGATTACTAACGCTGCTTGATTTAACCACGGGTTTATAAAGCCTCCCATTTATGAAGCCTTCATTCTGGTGGGCCAGCAGTCACTTGCGTGGCATCTCCGTAAGTGCCAGGACCCCCAGACCCCTAAACAAGCAGGACGTAACCTCTGCGCTGAAGAAGCAATCGCAGTTTTGCTCTGCGCATTCACTGACTGCTTGGGCTGTGAGCCTGGGGGTTAATGAGCCAGGGTAAAAACTCCAAATACAGGTCTGTAGTCAGGTGGCCTAATTTCCACCTAAATCCCTGAGATTAGGGTTACTTATCGCTCCACTTTGGACAGCTCAAAGCGTGCTGATAGGAGACATTAGGCATGAGGACTCAGCTGGAGCATGGGCAACCTTCAGCATTGCCAAAAATTGGGTCATGTTACAGGGCAGAGGCGGGCAGGAGTGCATCCCGCAGCAGAGCCCTTGAGAGGGCAAGGCCCCGAGCAATGCTTGTGCCATGGCCCTGCACGCTTGCAACTGCCTGCAGGTCACAGGCAGTGAAAGCTCGCTTTGACCAGCAGAACACGTAGACTTCTCCTTTCTCAAACTCAGTGTCAGTTCTTGGAATACGTATAACTCACCCTGCTCTTAGAAAGGAAGATGGACCAGATCCAACCCTATTTTTCAACTGTGCTCTCTGGTTACATGAGGAAGATGCAGCTCACCTTCCGTAGAGGGAAAAATTATGAACGGGGTGTAGGTGTTCAAAGGTATTCACACGCAGGGATAATTAAGTCATCGTGCTAGCGTTTGGCATTTCAGAGAGCATTCAAGATGATCCCTTACCCAATTTTTCAAAAGAGAAAGGCTTCCTTACGGTTCAGCCACCTGTTAGCAGGTACAGAACAAGATGCAGTCCCAGTATCATAGTAGAGAACCCTTACCCAAGACACAGCAGCATTGGTTTAACATTTAACATTGAGCAATCCCATGTAATTTAAAAGAAAAACTGAACTCAGCTCTAGTAGAGAAGTGGAATCTCTGTCCTCCTTGTTTTCTCCATAGCCTCTGCAACAGCGGTTGGGTCATTTGTGCTGTCTGTGGCGAGCTCTGACACGACAAACCTGCCCCTCTCTCTCCCCTCTCCCAGGTATCCACCTGGGATGGTCAGTGTCGCACCGGGAGGAATACCAGCAGCTATGGAGGGCATCATTCCCGGAGGCATCCCCGTTACTCACAATCTTCCCACAGTGGCACATCCTTCTCAAGCTCCATCTCCTAACCAGCCCACAAAACACGGGGACAACAGGGAACATCCCAACGAGCAATAGCAGATAATTTAAAAATCATTCAATAAACTTGGGACCAAGAGACATTGGAAAAGAAGTTATACATGAACTAAAAAAAGAATTTGATACAAAATTTGTAATGTTGATTTTGGACAGACGCATCATTGATGTTCCAGTGTTAACGACAAAGTGATAGCAGTCAAGACTGGGGAGAAGCCCTGAAGAAGTCACCTGCTTACTGAAGCGCTGAAAACTAGGATGTGATACATTAATGATCAACTTCTGTTATTGTGTGTTAAGTTTCCTTCATCTGTGCATCAACCACATGAATAAAAATAGATTTTTTTTTTCCCCTCAATTCCTTGGGAAGGACAGGGCTTCTGCACCTGTTTTCAAACCATTGCATTAAGCAATCCGTACAGAGTTAATGCAGAAATGTAAGAGGAAACCATTATGTGGCTTCAGCCCTTTCCTTACTCTTGTATCTGGTTACCTCTTCTAACGGGAGGCATCAGTACTGGCTTAGAAGTGGAAGGAAAAAAAAAAAAAAAATCCTTTTTGCAGTCTCACAGGGCCAGTGACGTGTAACAGAAGTTCTCCTGCCAGGTTTAAGTTCTAGCCATTCCAGCTGGGATCCGTGGGATGGGGAGGGGAAAAAGGGCTCCTGGCAACGGCCGCTGCCCTCCCCAGCTAAGGAAAAAAACAAACCGCCAGTCTCTTCTCTGCCCAATACACTGAATAAAGTAGCTGTGCATTCACCTACGCCCTGCAATGATGCAAGAAAAAAAAAAAAAAGAAAAAAGAAGAAAGTATTGTTTCACACACTATTTGTACTCAAATATATTTTCTCAGTTTTAAATCTGCAGCTATTTTATCAAGTGGAAAAAGTCTTGAGCTGGAAAGGGTTCAAGAATAATGTTGCATTTCCTTATGTCTCAGGAAACACTTTTTATGGTAACTTGTCAGACTGTCTATGAACAAAACCCACTTTTTTAGACATTGATAAAAGTCTTCTTTTCTTCACGTGATATTTTATACAAGAACACTTCAAAATGTGTTATTAGATGTGACTGATTTTAACAAATCCTATTAGATTTGTATCAACTAGTTACATGTTATATTCATAGTCTTTTGTGAATCATCGCCTTTGTTTTTAAAAAGATGGCCTATTTTGAGCCTTTGTATGGGTACATTCCTGTTTCTGTGACAAAAAAAAAATCTTAAGCTGTCCCAAACAGAAAAAAAAAACCAATGGCTATCAGAAGTATGTTTTGTTTTAGTGTGTTACCGTTATTGTATTTGTTTATTGTAAAGGTGGACATTTAGCGTTCAGTGCAGTTTTCAATAAAAAGTGATAAAATTTCTGTAATTTCTGAAAGGTAAGAGCTCTCGCTGCAATCTGACTAACGCTGTAAGTTAAAGACATTGAGAACGCACAGTAAGATACAGAAATGCAACTCTGATCACACTGTGCCCTCCTCCGAAACCGAGTATGGTTTCACAGCGGAGAGCAGGTAAGTTTTCCTCGAGTCTGACTTCGGTACTTCTGGCACTTGAGCAGCAGCTGGGACCCGCTCCTGTCAGGGTCAGCAGAGGGATGACGCTTAAAGAGAGCCGTGATTGGCATCGGCTGAGGATCTGTCCTTGGCTTCCTGCAACAGGCGTGAGAAACACAGTAGAACCTCGGTTCAAGCTTGCTGCGTGCAGGTCAGTTTTAAAATTGCACTGCTGGGGAAACGCTTGCTGAATTTCGTTTCCTATCCAGACTTTCAGGTGGTGCTATCCATAAGCTGTAAACTTACTCACGATTTGCTGTGAATACTTAAAAATCAAGCGGGACATTACATGCAGCCTAGCTGGAAAAAGATCACTATGGTTTCCATTAAGCTATGAAGGCAGCTGCAACGTTTTTTGTACGTACTCAAGAAACGAAGCATTAGCACACACTAGGGAACAAAGCTGAAAACATGCTTGAGAGGTGCTAGCAGCTTCAA